CGATCCAACATTATACAGCACTGGATCGTGATTTAGGCATATTAACTGACAAGAAATATCATAGTCACACATTTGATATTCTGATATTTGAATATTGTACTGATGAATCAGTAAAAACAGACTGCACCTGAATGACGCATGTATTGACACATTTAACCCAATATTTGAAACATTACATGAATTAAACACTAGATAGCAGCACACACACCTTATATAAAACAGAACTGACTCAGCTAAGCAAGCAGTCATAAGAGCTACACACGACACGAAAATAGGAACTACTCACCGCCATAGGGTGAGTACACATACACACCCACGCTCATCCGGTTACAGTTACTCCCGATGTTGGATCGGAATACGAAAAAAGAAAAATTCTGTTCACACTTGAGTACGTACTTTAAAATATAGGCGGGATTTAGGTGCACGAGGGGTCAGGGCAAGAGAACTTTCAGGCTGTGCTGAGGGCAGCTGGAGAGACTGAAACCCAAGGTTGGCTTCAGCTGGATGAAGGAGACCCTGGATTTGAGTTTCTTCTCTCTTTACAGTTTTGAATCAAGGCTCTACAATAATTTTTAATTCATTTTCATCAACACTAACCATATCATTAAGTTTACATTTATTTTTCTGTTTTATTTTGTCTTTTTTGGCCATCTTTTGCTTCATTGGTCCGGATGACTTCTTTCCTCCCAAATTAATCCGAATTAGCGAGTTACACGCGTTACAGACACATGAGCGCACAGACGAGGCCATATCCCAAAAATTGAACTTGCGAACAGAAGTACACCAATTTTACAGACACCCGAAAATGACCAATGTTTGTCGAAACATGTAGTATGAATGCACCGCTGATGTAGAAGAGATTGCAAAGTTTATAATTTTGTAAAGGTTTCAGAAAGCAAGTTGCAGGCAAGACGGCCAGGCTAATATCTAACAAGGAATACACAAATGTCCGACAACCGCAGGAACTGACACTATCGCTGTGTCCCCAAGAGCACTTCCTGAAGCCTCCTCCAATTATCCAGGTCGTAACGTCAGTTACGGCGAGTTGGGTAAGGGTGGAACAAGTGGAGGCTGAAGAAAACTGCGTAAGGAGTAGATGCATAGTCTCTGCTCTTATTGGGGTGTTCAGATGGAGCAGGTTGGCCTAGCGGTAACGCTTTATGTAGGCTCGTATTCACGAGGGCTCTGTTCAGCTCTTGGCTGAACACCGCCTGTACTGACGGGTATTTTTCTTCGTTCCCTCCACGTGAATATGGCGATAGTACGTCACACAAACGCGTCCTTCCGAGTCCCTTGCAATTCAGCAGTCATCCTGCCATCTGACGACATACATTCCCGGTCGCATATTCAAAACATCGTAATCCGACACATGAACAAGAAGTTCTGAGAAGAACTATTCTCCTACGTTCCATTAGTACAACACGAACCGCATAGAGAACGACTCTTCCAACAATTTGCCTTTGCAGCGGGAACGCCTTTACCGGGTTACCTGGCAACGAAAGGAAGGGCACACGTAGGAATACACAGACCGGTGGGAGAGATGTATGAAGTGCGCCGTTGAGATGGGCTCAGGTGCCGTGATATGTACATACCGAGTTTCGTAAAAATTGGTTCAGGCATTCAACAGTTCATAAGAAAGATAAACAGAGAGCGTGGTGATTTCATAAGCCTACTTTCATTTATTTCTAAGTAAGGAAAATAGGCTAAAATGAATTGACCGAACGAATCGAGGACAAGATGGGTAAAACATGTAGAACTCTACTACATTTACTGCTGCATTACGGATTGTTTACTAAGCTGTTTTTTGTTTGATTGCTAATTTGTTATTGACTATTCGCTGAGTGTTTCCCTGATTTTCTTTAGTCCCTCTAATAAGATGCCTCCAAGTTCTCTAAAAGGCTGTGAATTTCTTGATGCGGTGAGCGACAGTAAGTTTCACAACATACCTTCTGTTCTGTTGTGTCATTTAATCAGACAAATTCGCTGCTAACTGATCAGCTCAGTGTGAAATGAGTTCCTATTTTGCTCTGTCTAAACATCGCTACTGCAGCTACAGCGTTTAGCTAATTACACTTTTATTTATCCAGTTTGACACCTGCTTACCCCAGCGTCACTTGTTCCCATAGCAACATGACGCAGGCCTGGAGCTCAACTGAAATCGTAGAGGCTTTGATTTGAGGTGATTGTATGATTTAATATGTAACTTTCTTGCCAATTGTCCTCAGATCGAATCCACCATATGAAATGGCACAAACTGGCATATTGATCATTATCGTTTGGTTTTTGTCGCGTCCATAGCAACGGAATTTGTAGAATTTCGCGTATTAGTGTTCAGTTCCTCCATCTTGTTGTGTCGTAATAAATATGAACGCAAGAACTAATTGGTGAATATTATTTCAGGATCACAAGACGTGTCAGGTGTGCTGATCATCAATCGGTACGCCATTTAGAAATAAAAACTCTTGTTAATGGTTTGATATATATTGCTTGCTCACTAATTAGTGCACATGTAATTACAGATAAACACGCAGCACGTTGTAACAATAATCATGCAATCTACACATCATCACACGCCTGCGATGTAAACAACCAAAGGAAATTAACATTCAATTTAATCCGCTTTACGAATTCAGATACTGGATTCCGTCGCCATTTTGTAATATTTTGCTCTGTAGATCAGAATTACAATGATGAATGTTTAGAAAAAAATATTTGTAATATACACAAAAAAGTCAAAAGATAAAATTCCGCTGTGCTTAATTAATTAAGCAGTTATGCACTATACCATGAAGCTTTCCTATTTCAATACTAAACCTCGCTTTCAAGCAGCCACTCCTGGTCTTATTATGTCGGTCAGCTTGGGAACGAGTGGAATTTCTACAGCCTTTGCACCTGGATATAGAGGAAATTTTGCTGTAGAAATTTAAATGAAGTTAAATTCATTGCGAGGTTGATATAATATTGGTAACGATCTACAAGTTGATACGGCGATTCACAGACACAGACAGCATGATGATGTCATAAGCGTACTTTTACTTTAATTAAATAAGGAAAGTATCAGGGACTGTCCAAAAATAAGAGGATTTTAGTTTGTTGGGTGCGGGGTTCTCACAGAGATGGCCGAGGACGGAAGGCTTCTGCCTTCTGAGATGTGAGCAGAATTTTGATTGACCCTTTCTTATTGCTGGTTATTTGCCTGGCTTACCCTTCAACCCTGAAAAAGGAGGCAATACGTCCCTCCGTCACGCCTGTAAACTCAAAACGGACTACACGGCGGCCCACGCCATAAGGTCACAGTGACCGCTGTGAGAACCTGAGATTAAAACAAATGTAGATTACTTAACTCTGACAGACAAATGCCTTGAAGATACAAGAATGTTTCTTGCCCCTCAGATTACGGATCTGTGTGTGTGTTCAACAAAAACCAATCCAGACTTGTAACTATATCGATAAAACGAAGGCTCAATGGCGGATCTTCTTTCTTTGTTAGCGTGTTTAGTTCCCGAGACTTCTCTTGTTGCTCAGCGCGGCCTCGTGTCGGCCCCGCATAGCTGCTGCTGCTGCTGCGCGTGAAATGCGAACAAAACTTTACGAAGTCCCTAGAGAACGGCCCATTTTCAAGATTTGGTACACGGCGTGGGAGACGCACCTGACTAATATTGCACTGTGTCTGCTTCTCATTGAGGTATTCACTGCAGGCTCACGTCCAACTCACACTAAAAGTTCTTGAATTGAATTTCTTTTTTAACTATCAATTATTTCAAGTTGCACAACATGTTTCATCCTATTTGTCCATCGTGGGGTGCGCTAAAATTGTTGGGAGAAATTGTTGCGCTTTTGTTTACTTTAGTAACGTTGAAGAAACCCGTGGACAAAAGTTACGACAGTTTACAAAAGCGGAACAATTTCTCCGACAATTTTAGCGCACCTCATGATGGACAAATAGGAAGAAACATGTAGATACTACAGTAGTTACTATAGGATTCTGACGATGGTGTATAACACACAGAGATACTGGGTTTTTTGGACTTTATCCATCGTCCTGGTTTTTAAGATAACAAATAAAAACACGACGTTTCGGAAACTGGATCTGTTTCCGTCCTCAGGTGAAGGAAAGCACCTATTCTGTTGGGTCCGTTAGAAAGAGCTAGCCTCAATCACTGGACAAACCGATGTCACAAAACATTAAGATTATAAACACCTGAGACCAGGCTAAGTCCATGAGAGCTAATAAGAAAAATATTCATAACAAATTGTTTGTCCAGTGATTGAGACTAACCCTTTCTAACGGACCCAACAGAATAGGTGCTTTCCTTCATCTGAGGACGGAAACAGATCCAGTTTCCGAAACGTCGTGTTTTTATTTGTTATCTTAAAAACCAGGACGATGGATGAAGTCCCGAAACCCAATATATCAATGGATACTACAGGTTTCTGCCGATGGTGTATAACACACAGAGATACTGGGTTTTCGGACTTTGTCCATCGTCCGGATTCTAAATAACTACGAAAAAAACAAAACACAACGTTTCGGAAACTGCATCTGTTTCCGTCCTCAGGTGAGGCTCCAGTGATTGAGGCTAGCTCTTTCTAAGGGACTCAGCACAGTATTCCCTCACCTGATGACGAAAACAGATCCAGTTTCCGAAACGTTGTGTTTTCATTTCTTAGTTATTTATTATCCGAACGATGGACAAAGCTCATCAGCAGGATGAAACATGTTCAACTTGAAACAGTTGAGAGTTTTAAAAAATTAAAATTTTTAATTTAAGAACTTTTAGCGTCAGTTGCTCGTGAGACTGCAGTGAATACGTGAATAAAATGTTTGCTATAAATATTTTTGATATTTCGAATATTTAGCGAGATGGAACTGACAGATTTCTGCTAGACGCTGCCTCTCCCGACGCCATTAAATTTAAACAGTAGATTTGTATCGCCAAGAACTGAACATCGAACAGACGAAGTGCGGGTTGCGTGTGCACCAGGCTGAGCAGGCTTACCTGAAGAGTCGGGGAACCCCGCTGTACTGCTCACGGTCCAGGGGGGCACTGCTCGCTTCGCGCCCCGCGCTCCGGTTATAAGGCACATTACGCCACCTACAACGCCGTTTGCCATTGGTCCCAACCCCCACAGCTAGTCTCTCATTGGCCCACTTCTTGGCCTCTTATTTTTTCCTAAATTTGTGATTCATTGCTGTTGTTTATAAACTGTGGTCCGCTACACAAGAAACACCATATGCAGGTTGCTATGAGAGTTGAACAGTCACATACTTTCAGAGAAATTAACAAAACACACACAAATTAAGCATTACAATATGTTATTGTTCCGCGAATTCGATACTGTACAGTTTTACTGGTCTCTGTTCACAGACTCCATTCTGGATTTAAATCGGACATCAATACCGGACACTTCACGTGAAGGCCGAGCAGCATATCAGAGCGCAACTCGCTAAATGTTTATCAGGTAGAAAAATGTTTAGAAACGAAGTTGTTAATACCAATTAAACGCACAGTTTTGTTCATTACTATTTTTTCTCTAAGCCTTCCCGGTTATCGGGAAAATTAACCCTGGAAAGCCAAGTGGTAACTATATGTACCACCTCTTTCAGCATTCAAAAATTCTGCATTCTGCCCACAAGTGCATTTGCGTGTTCCGTATGGTTCTCACAATAAACAGCGACTGTTTCCCTAAAGAGCATTAACCGGTTGGGCTTTGTAGTGGAGACGTAATGTGTTTCCTTTGCGGTACGAACTGAATTGTTATATATTATTTAGAAGAAATTCGGCCTTTGATGTTACTCCCCGTGAGGAGGCGGGTTCGAGTACCTCCACCGTAGCCTTGCGAATCGTGGAAGGCGACGAAGAAGGACCCCAATGCCTGGGTCTATAACTTGACCACCGTGTTCCTGGGAATATAAATATGATGACCTGGTCGTCTAGGTTGGGGTAGTCTCCAATCTGAGATGAGTCCCGCGTGACTCGGATCGGAGAATGACTGCGCTGGCAAGGGCCAACAGGAATTGTAACCAACAGACCCATCCTCTCTTCAGAGAGGACACCACACATCAACAAACCCTCAACAGTCTGAGTGCAACAAAAATCTGGTTTTGGGCGCCAGGTGAAGCTTGACACCAAGACAGGCTGGCCGACTGCCCTTCGGCCTTGACAGAATTTTGACTTTGACTTTGGCCTTTGAAGAGTTAAGCAAATTGGACCTAAGGCGCCGGCCTGCTGTGTGCCTACATCTCCTGAGTGGCCTCTTTGGGACCATTGTGCCCGGACTGGTGCTGAGGCCTATCCAGATTTTCGGGATCCGAGTGTGAGAGTAATTTTTCCCAAATTCAACCTTTCGGTCCGTAACTATTACATAGGCACATGGCCAGTTTACTCCACTCACCGCGAGTGTTATGAAGATCCTCATTATGCAGTTGTCTCCATTATCCCCCCCACACCCAAATGTTTTCCTCGGCCTCCCGCAGTCTGCTGTTCCCTTAAGGTTCACACCGCAGCTCACCCCTAATAAAGGTTGCGACTGTGAGGTGTATAAGGCCCCTTCTGCGGCGTCTGGGGCCTCAACCCTTAGCTGAGAAGGCAGAACAAACCGGAGCCATCAGACGACAAAACGTTACAAAGCATATAATTCCCAAGTTTTCACGGTAGTGTGCTTACATGGTGACACTATGGGTTACAGGTGGCTACCAGTGTATTGGATGAAGACGGTGCCTCCATCTTCAGGGCCGAACATAATGAAATGAAGATGTAGTAATATTATATATACAGGCTTATCGAAGTTTCTTTGCTAAGTGTGTATAAACCTTACTGCATCTTCTCTACACTCTCACCCTGAGCATGGAACCGGAACGTTCCTTCAAAAGGTTTCTATCCACTAATATTACGCGGCCTCACACACTTAGGAGCCAGCATTAGTTGCAGGCGCTCAAGATAGGAGACCGGTCGCTTCATACAGGCAAATGTTAAAGGACAGAGGGGTGCATTGCTTGAAGTCGCTAATGGATGGGTGGGTTCCACGCATGGAGACCCTCGCGATCAGCTGAGCGACTGTACGCTCTTAAAGACACGCTTTCCGCTGCCCGGTTCGACTTGCTAACACCGCACCAATCAGGTCACTCCGACGGAACTGCATGACTTCCGCTGCTCTTAGTTCTTTAACAGCAAACAGATTCGCCGTAATGTTAGGCAACTTCTCCTGCACTACTGCCGTGCGTGTTGTCTGCCTACAGGCGGTTCTGTTGCAAATCTCGCGTCTTTAAATTTCGAAAAAGCGATCCAAGTACAGTGGTAACTATATGTACCACCTTCTGTACAGTTCAGAAGCTGCGTATTTTGTCCGCAGAATATATTTATATGTTCCGTATGGTTCTCACAATAAACAGCGACTGTTTCCCTGAACAGCATTAACCGGTTGGGCCTTGTAGTGGGGACGTAATGTGCCCAGACATTCCTTGATGACTGTGTGTGTATGTATGTGTACTCCGATGTGAACTTTTGAATGCCTGAACCAATCTTTATGAAATTCTGTATGTATATCATGGCAGCTGAGCCAAACTCAGTAGAATATTTCATAATTCCCTCCCATCAGTCTGTGTGTCTGTATGCATATCCTTCCTACATTGTTAGGCAACGGTTCACTAAACACGTTCCCGCGATAACGAAGAATTGTTGGAGGTGTCATTTTCTATTAGGCCCTAGCGGCCTCCGTAGTCTAGAGGTAACGTTCCCACCTCATTACTCGTAGTACGCGGGTTCAAATACCCGGCGGAGGTCGTCGAATTTTTAAGGGCGGAAAAATTCAGGGAATAAGTCATCCAGGAGGGACTTTAAGCTGTGTGTACCGTGTCGTAACTTTACGGCACGTAAAAGAACCTCATATCCCCAAAGGGGATCACTGAGCCAAATTCGAGGACGTTTCCCGCCCAACAATAGTCTCTAAGGCCTCTGATAGATGGGGCAAGCATTATAGACACCGCTAAGGAAGTGGCCGAACTCGCTTGCTCGGCGGGACTGATGGTACGCACCATTTATCTGTAGGGTATAGAGACTGGTAGAATATCATAGAGGGAAGCACAATAGATCAAACTGGTCGCGGTGCATGGGGAAACCCACCCTCTCTAAATAACTAACTAATAACTGTTAGGCCCTTGTATCGAAAAAAAATAAGCGTTTAGTTCTTCCCAGAATTTCTTGATATTTTCGATAATGCCAACTTGTCATCTTTAAATACGGGAGATACGTGACTCAGAAAAAGGCGAGGCGTGAGGAGAAAAACGAAAAGTTCTTTAAGTGCATGCAGGACTACTTAATGCTTCAGTTGGGAAGTGTCCGTTTGAAAATAAACAGAAAAATGTTGACAAGTTCGATCTGTATTTAGGTTTTCCGCAGATAATGCAGATAATGTTTGCTAACACGAAGATTGCTCCGTAGGATTTCCCTGCCCACACCCCAACTTCTCCCCGCAAGCGCGTTATCCTCTTGGCTTCCTCGCTTCTGTGGGAGACCCAGTTCAATCTGGCACTGAATTTCTGTCTTCTCTTTCCCATGAAACCGAAATTTCGGCAAGCCGATTTATGTACTTGCCACTTGATTTCACGCTGACTTCTTGTTCGGCTTATTATTCGACCCTGAAGATGGAGGCGACATGTTCTTCCGTAACGTCGATGACTTTCAACGGACTACCCGGAGTTAAATCCCAGACGGTTAAATTCTTCGTGAAGATTACTGTGTTCTGAGACATGGCACCGTGCAGACTGGTAGATTCTTACCGACATTTGTTGTGTTCTTGAACCCTGAAGATGGAGGCGTCAGGTTTGTATGGAGCATTGTAACATATCTACTAAATTAAACGGCGTCACACCGCAGATTACTGCATTTTTTCAACAAGTTGAATGTAAGGCCCTGTGAATGCAACGACGACGCTCTTGTGTTCACTAAAGGGCGGGGAAACGGTTGATGCAGCGACCAACTACCAGCTGCTGAAGAATGGCTCTGCTGCATCGAGCTGTTTTTGTAAGTTTCAGTTAGTTTGATCTGTGTGAAAGGGGTGGGCTGGTTCTCTGTTGCCTCTAGTTCTCTCTCTGCGGGAATATTGCCCCTTATTGGGCAAAATATTGCATTCTTTTGTTGAGCAAGTTACTGCTGCTTCTGCGGAAATGACGAATTAGGTTGTCGTGAGGCACAGCATGATCAAGAAGCATCTACCAATAAGGTACTGAACTCCGACAAAATATCGCACTCAAAAGTTTGCAGGCATCTATCCCTTCAAAGCACAGTGCTGCCTCCTGCTTTAACACGATGTGACATCACAACTGAAAGAAACTGTACGTTGCTAGGTTACGGCACAGTAAACACGCGATTGTAGACTCCGTTGCTACTAGGTTCCGTGAGTACTCGGTTTATTCTGTACATGCAGCAGAACCCTTGGTTCCTAGTGCTGTCAAAGAATTTATCAAGAAATTCTGAGAAGAACTAATTGCCTACTTTCCTCTGATACAACAAGCGCACCGAAAAAAAACGCCTCTAAAAATTCTTCGTTGTCGCGGGAACGTTTTTACCGATCCGTTGCCTAGCAACAAAAAGGGGGATACACATATAGGCACACAGACTGCAAGGTGACTGCATAAACCTACTTTAGGAAAGTAAAGTAAAAAAAGTAAAAGTAAACCTATCCCTGTAACAGGCCGTGAAGGCCCATATGGTTGTGAGACGTAGAGGGTCCCACATTATCTAGACAATCGGCTCACAGATGGCGGTAAGGTTGTCAGCCTTACGCGACGGCTGCACTTTACTTCCCAGGAAAATTATTTATTTTATTCCTGGTAAGGCTAAATATCGCTGCGAAAACACTGGATAGACTTCCTCGATTATGGTACCTCGAGAATGAAGTCGATTGTTGCTCGGTACCCCATCTGTGTTTGCTGAATAGGAATTAAAATAAAATCCATCCGACCGATAAAGCCGGTTTCGACGAAATCGACATTTCGCGCGTCTATGCAATTTTGTTTACGGAGATGTCTCCGTGAAGTACTGGAAT